GGACTGGGGGTATAGCTCAGTATTATAGCACTTCTGCCTAGAATGACCTAGGTCTTGGGTTCAATATACAGTACAGGAAAAAAAAAGTTGAACTGGTTGCCAATATTTTAAAATATGAATGGGGGTTTTCACATTTTTTTTTCAAAAAGAAGAGATGTCTTGCTTCTCTTGAAGAATCATGAAACCTGGTAACATTGAGTTACAGTTACATATTACAACCATTGTCTATAACTAAGTGATGCTGGACCTTTTAGAAAGGACTTGGCTTCACAGTTTACCTGGTCACAAGCCCCCTAACTTTAATCATTTACTTTAAATGCCTGACTTGTTTCCATTTGAGTTTGCCTCCTTTGGTCTATGTGCTTCATTCACAGGTCGTCATGCATCCATCCAAAGTTTTGGAATTACAGATGATCAAGCAGGGCTTTCACATGGAAGTAGGACAATATATCTTTGTTAAGTGTCCCTCAATCTCTCACCTGGAGTGGCATCCCTTTACTCTGACCTCTGCTCCAGAGGAAGATTTCTTTTCTATTCATATTCGAGCAGCAGGGAACTGGACAGAAAATCTCATAAGAGCATTTGAACAGCAGCATTCCCCAGTTCCCAGGTAGGTCCTTAAGACCAGCAGAGACTCAGACCAGGATAAAGAGTGATAGGACAAAGAAAATAATTCCTTGTTGAAGCTCAAGTCTGGTAAGACAGACTATAATTAAAATACACAGAAGAAAAATATGGGAATAATTATGTTTCTGGGAGGATGTTTGAGGTTGGTGGGGTGAGACTTCAGTTATCTGTTCTCTTTTGTCTTTTGCTAGGATCAAGGTGGATGGTCCTTTTGGCACAGTTAGTGAGGATGTTTTCCAGTATGAAGTGGCTGTGCTGGTTGGGGCAGGAATTGGGGTCACCCCTTTTGCTTCCATCTTGAAATCCATCTGGTATAAATTCCAGCGTGGAGACCACAACCTCAAAACACAGAAGGTACATTCTGACATATTGCTATTCATCTGGCCTGGGCCTAACAGATCTAGTTCCCGCATAGGCAAAGGTCTTTACAGTTCATAAAGGGATAAGCTCTCTTTAGAGTTATGAGTGAGTGATTGCTTTTCTCTGCCAGATAATCTATATATTCACTGTAAGAGCAAGGTCTTCTTTTCAATTTGGAGTTTAAAATGACCCTGAACCGAAGATGACCTTGGAGAGCTCTTTCTATAAGAGAAATTGTTGGAACCCTGGGCATTCATGCCACCTAACATCTCCCACTTTGTAAACATGATTTGTCAGGTCACTCTTAGGCTTGATCAACAAATATAGAAAAAATATATTTGTTTCTATCACCACAGTGAGTGAACATTTTTAAGTGTACTTAATAAGGCTATGATCTGTTTTGTTGATTCCAGATTTATTTCTACTGGATCTGCAGGGAGACAGGTGCCTTTGCCTGGTTCAATGACCTATTGATTTCCCTGGAACAGGAGATGGAGGAATTAGGCAAAGTGGGTTTTCTAAACTACCATCTCTTCCTCACTGGATGGGACAGCAACATTGTGAGTACAAACAACATTCCCATGTTAAATATAGGTTGAATGTCAGATAAAAGATAGTGCATGCTGATCAGAAACAATTATTTCTTATGATTGCCTACCTTTCCTCACCCTCACATACAGTTTAAAAGTGGCTGAAGGAAGTGGCAGCTACGAAGACTTGGTTTTTCTAACTTCTTATTTTTCTGACTTCAGGCTGGTCATGCAGCATTAAACTTTGACAAGGCTACTGACATCCTGACAGGTCTGAAACAGAAAACTTACTTTGGGAGACCAAAATGGGACAATGAATTTTCTACAATAGCTACTGCCCACCCCAAGTAAGTTATTCTCCTTCAATTAGTTGAATTTGCAGAGTTAGAGTTTAGGAAAAGTACTAAAGAATGTTGAACATTCTGGGGAAAAGATCTCTGAGGCAGCAACTAGTGCCATTCTTAGATTCTTGCTTAAAAAACTGAAGAAATTTCACCTGGGTTTTATCAAGTTAAGAATCATGAGCTTAGAATTGGTGAGATGTTTGCTGCCCCAGCAAGCCTCCATTCAAACAATGAAACAAAGACTCATTTATGACCTATATCACCAAACAAAACAGAGAACTGGAGCAATTCAAGTGTACTTTTTTGGGGAGGTCGATGACCTCCACATAAATTACGAGGTTTGGAGTATATTATCTAATTCACTTATCAACTGCACTCAGTTTTTCTGGAAGATTTTGAGACTCTTTTTAGAGCACACAGGAAAACCTGGAGTTATGAAGCCAGCCACATCAAGATTAAGGAGATGAATGAAGCTGATCATGGTAGATAAGCTCCCTCAGCAAACTGGCAGGTGAAGATCAATTCAACTCCACAAACATCTTTGGTTACATGCTATAAGCTCAGCACTCAGCATTGGAGGTTGAAAGAGAAGGAGATGCTTCTTGCCCTAAAGGAGAATATATTTGCATAAGAGATGCATATAGTCAATTCAAAATAGAATGATGTGCTCCATGAAACACGTGCCTGGATATGAAGGCAGTAATAAGAGCAGTTAGTGACTCGGATTTGGATCATCCTGGGTTCTAATGCTGGTATTGAAACTTTCCAGTTCCAGGACCTACAGCCACAAAACCCTTTCATATTCAGATTCCTCATCTGTAAAATGGAGGTTACATTATCAGTAAATAAATGCTTTGTTTATTCACTTGCAGGGTTGTTGTCAAGATTAAGTGAGGCAATACATGAAAAATGCACTATAAATAGTAAAGCAGTATATATAAGCAAAAGAGATCCTACTAATTATCATGTTGAATTGAACATAGTCAAAATTCAGCATACATGAGATTGCCAGGAGAGGGAAGGGGGTAGAGGAGAGAGGGGGAGGGGAAAGGAGAAAGAGAGAGAGAGAGAGAGAGAGAGAGAGAGAGAGAGAGAGATTAACAGAATGCCTATGGAATGGCTAGATTATGTAGGAAAGGAGAACAGTAAACCAAAGAAAAAAGTGGAATGTAGAAACGTACTGTAGTGTCACAAAAGCCAAAGGAAGAAACAGTAGAGAAATGTAGCCAATAGTACTAGAGAAGTGGCAAGGTCAGAAAATGCTAATTTAGCTTAAGGACAATCTGAACATTTTTATAGACAGAACAGGAGCCAGTAGATGGGAATAAAATAAATATACAAAAGAGAGGTGAAGATTAAGATAGCCATAATAAAAGATGGATAGTACCATGTGTTGGTGAGGAAATAGAGAATTTGGAATCCTACCTTTATTGTTTGTGGGAGTGTGAAACAATGCAGCACTTGAGAATTCTTTGCCAGTTCCTCCAAGTGTTAGTTTCCATATGATCCAGTAATTCATTCCTTGGTATATACCCATGAGAAATGAAAACATATATATGCAAAAATTTACACATGAATGTATATAGCAGCATCATTCATAATAACCAAAAAGTGAAAAAAGTGTCCATCAACAGATATGGTACATCTACTAACAGATATGGAATATTATTCACCTATAAATGTATGGACACATGCTACAACATGGATGAAACTTGAAGACATTATGCTGAGTGAAAGAAACCAGACAAAAAAGGCCACTTATTGTATAATTCTATTTATAGGAAATGTTCAGAATTAGCTAAATCTATATGGAGAGAAAGCAGGTAAGTGATTATCTAGGGTAGTAAGTATGGTTGGGAGGAAACAGTGACCACTAATGTGAATGGGATTTCCTTTTAGGATGGTGAAAATGTTTTGGAACTAACAGTGAGGGTCACACAACTTTGTGGCTCTAATAAGTACTAAATGTACAGTACCAAAGGGTGAATTTTATGGTTGTGAATTATATCATAGATTTAAATAAAAGAGGAGTGGTGACACCCTGAACATAATTGGAAAGGTTAGCTTTGGCAAGAACATCATCTCTTCTGAGTGGGAAATTTTGGAGTGGAGTAAAGTACACAGTGGATGGCTTTAGTGACAGCTAATACTTGCTATGTGCCAGGCATTTTTCTAATTGCTTTATGTCTTTTAATTCTCAAAAACCCTATGAGGTAGGTACTATTATTATCCCTTTTACAGATGGGAAAGCTGACACACAGAGAGAATGTGCCTAAAGTCACACAGATTGTATGTCAAAGCTGATATGAACCCTCATTGCCTCTAGTGTCTAACATTTATAATTGTATTGCATAGGACTTTTGTGTATCTGTTTCCTCAATAAAATGGGTTAGGCTGAGTGCTAAGGGTGACAAGAGCTAGAGAATATGTAGGACTTATAAACAGAAAAGATTAAAAATCCCCAAAATACTACCACGAAGAGCATGAGTGGGAGTCAACAATCGAATTTTTGTCAGATGTTGGGAGTAGCAGAGGCCAATTCTCCCTTCTTACCATCAGCAGCTTTTACTGCTTTCTGCCCCTTACTATTATTCTATTCCCACAGGTCTGTGGTGGGAGTTTTCTTATGTGGTCCTCCGACTCTGGCAAAGAACCTGCGCAAATGCTGTCACCAATATTCCAGTATGGATCCTCGGAAGGTTCAATTCTACTTCAACAAAGAAAATTTCTGAACTATAGAAAAAATAAAACACAGTAGACTGTTTTTGTCTCTCCCTTGTATCTTCAACAACTTCCTTGGTCTGATCAGGTTTGGGCAGTGAACTTAAGATAATACTGTATCTCTCAAGCCGTTACTGCCTGCCATTATTAGAAAAAAGCAATGGCATTCAACTTCATTATACTTGAGCTTCACCAACCTAAGAACTTCAGAAGTTACAATTACAAAGCCCACGGATCTCTTCTTGGGAAAATAATCTAAAATTCTTGTGGAAAGCCATGACTGCAGCAAAATTTGACAGCAGAGGTTTGGAGGTTGAGTTACACAAATGAACCATAGTCAACTTTGTTGACTCCAATTTCTACAATTCAGTTTATAATCTTCCCTCCCTCCTGCCCTCATAGAAATCTCTACGTAGAGTGACTTTTAAAATAAAATTTTATTGAATTAATGACAAAACATAACCATAAATAATAAACAGTGAACATAAAATTACCGAGAACACTCTTTTCCATATAATAGCAACATTATACATTCTGTAACTTTAACCATGTTTTCCAGTGTGAATGGCAACTTATGTTTTACCTTTGTCAAAAAATGAAATTTTCTTTGCTTAAGGAATGAGTTTTTGTCACTTCTTCCTGGGCTTTCCATTTGAGAAAGAAAATCTTTAAAAACATGGTAATAGTAATTGTTAATTGCAACTGTATTATAATCAAAAGCTATAGTCATCTTATACTATCCTGTTGGAAATAATTGGGAAAACTTGATCTCCACATGGGATGACTTACTAAACCAGCAGAAACTCTTTTATCACCATTTTTAAGGGGTTTTATTGTCTAGTGTGAAAAATAATTAACAATTCTGAAAGATGTTTTTGGTTCCTATTCACTAAGGAATCATTCATCTAATTATATAAGCAAAATGCCTTTGTCTTATCAATATTTATTTCTCCTATCTATCCAACTGTGTATTATGACCACACTGGCTCTGGGATGTTAGTGGCCACAGTGAATCACTAGGAGGAAAGAACCACCATACTTCATTGTGCTCAAAGACAATTGAACTCATTATATAAGGATGTTTCTACTTAATTACCACGACAGCACCTAATTTTCTATCATTAAGTGATCAAGAATGAGCAAATCGTTTCTAAATATATAGGGATCTTGACGGGTTGAAGGATTTGTTACATTGCTTTTTTCAGTTACTGAAACAATACATGTAGGCTATGAACACGTGGTAGCTGTGATTGGAGTGCTACTGCTGTTGCCATTTTGTTCACCCACATTTCAGCTACCTGAATTAAGCTTAGCAAGGCTTTAGGAAAATATATAATGGAACCTTGAATATATGGTTTGTTCCTATTTTATCTGAACTGACTTTGTTTTGTAATCTGAGTTCTTTGAAACCTATGATTTCATAACAAAATGCTTCCTTCTTGATCTCAATGTCTAAATTTCAAGATACGACAGCTGTCAAAATCAACACATCAAGGACTGAATATTCATGGAAGTAGGCAGAAAAGGTAATAAAAACAAACTCTATGCATAATTAACATCCAAGATGAATTAGGGATGAAGATACACAGAACACTCCCTAACTGTCTTGATCTTTTACTAGGTTGTAATATGCAATATCCAGCAAATTTTCATTGTAAATGTTTACATATCGGAGTAGAAAATCCTGAATTTTAATATCTCTTATAAAGTTGATTATCTCTGCACTATTTTACTTAACATGTAAGCAATATGCTATCACATTCTTAAGCCTATGTCAGGCTTTTAAGTCACCTGACCATAATCCTAACCCAGAGGATGAGATTCTGAGAATATAAATAGGCTCAAAAGTAGTTCTAGTAGAACTTTACTAATTATTAAGACAATTCTTAACTTCTTGAGGTCAGCCTGATAATGGACAGAAAACATGTTCCTCCTTAATGCCACTATGAGAGGGAATACTAGCCAAGGAGACCCATTGGTATGAGTTACCAGCACTAATTATGTTTGTAAATATCTCCAAGGAAGCAGGCAGGGCAGACCTAAGAGGCAACCTGATTGCTTGTCCTCTACATTTGATCCTCTTACAATAACTGAGAAGAATGTAAAGAGCTTTAGGGTTTTCTGCTTTAAGTTCCAAGAATAAATTTGGCTATAGGGTAGAGAGCTGTAGGTTAGTGACTTTTTGGGAGGATAGGATGAAACGTATTTTGTTCATTTGATTTCAGTTCAGTTTTTAACTTGAACATGAAAAACGAGTGGCTTTTTAAACCTTTAAAGTTGACTACTTAGACTGAGGAGTTTTAGAAGACAAGTAAAATGACAACAGTCTCGTGTTGCTGACACACTCAAACCAGTGCCAACACAATCTTTCTTAATTGTGAACTATGTATGGTCAGACCTGACACTAACAACAAAAAAATGAGTTTTAATATTTGGATTTTTCTAAATTAAACACACTGCTGTGGTAGACTGTTTTGTTAGGGTTCTATTTTATAGGTCCAAGCACATCCAACTCTCTCCCAGAAGACACAAATGTTCCAGAAAGTTTCCCAAGGACAAAGCCTTATTATTCTTGCTGAAAGCAAACTAAACAAAGACCACATTCCAGAAAACATTGCTTCTGAGAAATTCTCAAATTATCATGAAGAAGAATAAATGGTTAACCTACAGTAAACACAATTCGATGCCAATATAACAAAGTACAATGCTGCAGTAAGGGTAGAAAATACATAGACAGTTTCACTGTTGGAGTTCAGCTTTTTAAAAGCAAACATGTATATCAATTTGCAGTATAATAAAATTGTGTTCAAAGTTTATTTCAAGTCACGGAAAATATACAAACTAAAACAACAAAAGGAACTGATTTTGTTCTGAGAGAAGGTGATGAGAGTCCTCCACCTGGCACCAATTTGAGTCATTCAAGGGTTAGGATGGATGCAGAAATCACCTTTTTTCAACATTTCAACAATGTTATGGAATTAACTTCCAGAATTGTTGCCAGGTATTTTTGAAAACCTGTAAGAAAAAGTTGGGAAAAAAGCTATTAGAAGTAGAGACAAAGCTCTCTTCCCCAAACATCAGGAAAAAGACAAAAAGGCTAGGGGAAGGAGAATATGCATAAGATCAAATTGCTGGGACAGAATTCCTAGATGTGTCTCTTGCCTCCCCAAAGCAATCATCCTTTGTAGCAGAGTTTCTCAATCACAGCATTATACTGACATTTTGAGGTGGAGCACTCTTTGATATTGGTGGGAAAGTGAATATCTTGTATATTACACAATGTTCAGGAGCATTTCTGATTTGTACCCACTAAATGTCAGTGGCATACTATATTCCCTAAAGTTGTGACAACCAAAAATGTGTCTAGACAGTGCCAAATGTCCCTCAAGGGGCAAAACTGATGCTGGCTGAGAAACACTTACGCTAACGGTAATGGTAAAGAAGCCTGTCAGTGATGGCAAAGAGGGACCACAACTAGGTAGGTACAAGATAGAGGGAAACCCAATGCTTCAGCCACAGTATGCACAAATAACAGCAGACACAGTAAAGTCTTGTCCACATAAAATTGTAGTTGTAGTCTCACACACATAGGCATAAGTTAGTGTGGGTGTAAAAAAGTGGTCAAAATTGAATAAGGTTTATAGTCTCATTCACAGCAATGTACCAATGTCAAGTTCTTGGTTTTATACTACAAAGCAAAAAGATGTTATTGTTGGGAGGAAGCTGGCTGAAGGGTACATGAGGCTTTCTGTACTATTTTTCCTGTGAATAACTTCCTGTGAATCTATTGGTTTAAAAGGTAAAAAACAGACAAAAACCCTACCCTCTGGTTAATGTGCAAGGCTTTAACTTAGGTATCTTATAACCAAGAATAATGAAAGAATTTTCAGAAATATTTCTGCCTTCACTATTTAAAAACAGTAATTTTCTCACACTGCAGGGAATGCCTCCTCTGGGATAAGTAAATTCCTCTGAATATAATACATAGTCCATGTTTTTACTGACAAAGTAAGAGTATTGGGTGTATGTGGAAAAAAGGTCAAAGTACTGGCCATATCAAAAGTCTAGATTATAGCCATCCATCTATGATACCTCCCAATTATAATTCAGTCAATTAAAGTCTAAAAACAGGTATGATAATATTTGCAGTTTGGATGTTTTAAAGACATTACAAATACGGGATAAAATACGATATATTTAATAAGACTGCTAATTACTGTGAGTTCACTATTATAATGTATGGACAGAAATTATAATGTAGATAGAGTAAAAAGGAGATATTCAAAAGATATTGGGTCAGTGTGAATTTTAAATTGTTTTTGGAAAACAGAATTGTTTATGAGATACAATGATGTTGAGGCAAAAAATTCTTTAAAAGAAACAACAATATATACCAAGTTAGGTCACATGATTATTTATGAGGCAGTTCACCTGAATCTTTTTTACCTGATGAGCAAGAAAAATAAGGGTGGTAGTATATAGCAATCTCCAAAATGTATAGAAACCAATGGTGATGGTGGATATTTACTACCTTAAACATGCTGTAATAGTTTAACATCAAAACAGTCATTAGAAAACAAGTACTGGCAACTAAAATATCTATACATTTTACTAAAATCTTCTATATTTTTTCTATTTTGATAAGACAAAATTTATGTATTGTTTTGGAATAAAATAATACAACTGATTCTGGAAGGATACATGCTAAAGTATATCGAGGGGTGCTATTGGGGGAATGAAATCAGGGAAGCAAGGTTTTTCATCTTTAACTTTCTACAGTGCTGTATCTAATTAATTTTGCTAAACTGATCACATGCTATTTTGTCACTAGGAAAAAAAGATTATAACTAATTCAACAACTGAACAAATGTTCTACAGCCTCACTCTATCATCTGAGGTGCTGACTTTTGAGAGTAAAGAGAATCCAGTTGAGAAGACTGAGGGCTTCAGAGAGAATAATCTTTTTGGTTGAAAGTGCATACCCCAAATACATAAGGGGCTAGTCCTGCTCAGGTTGGATTAAGTTTGCTCACCTTTCAAGGTGCTCCAGTGGATTTCTGTATTTGTTCCTTTAAGATTAGGATACTCTGCCTTTGCTCAGGAGGCAGCATGGCAATCTGATCTGCAGTCAGCTGAAGGACCTGCATAATTAAAGCAGCCTGTACAGAGGAAAATAAGGTAGTAAGTTTCAGTGAAGCAGCTAAAAAACAAAACAAAACAAAAAACAACAGCTTCTGTCCAAAAAGCTACTGTACTGGGGAATAAAGCAAAATGGAAAAGGGAATGGTATTTCACACAGAAAACAAACAGCAAGCCAAAAAGGAAAAAAAATTCTGGTGAGAAAAAGGCACAATGAAAAGAACAAGTATAAATTAAAATATTAGGCAATTCAAAACAGACACCTTTATCAACTCAAAGTTCCTGCAGACAAAGATGATATCTGTGAGCCCTGGGAATTCTTCAGTTTGTAATCCTGTTTTGCAAGTCTTTCCTTTTCCCAAATTTTAGCCTTTCCATCAGACATGAGCTCCCCACAATGGTGGAAAGATATAATTATGGGGAATCTACTATTGTTTTTAGGGATAAGGTAGAAAGGGGAAGAAGTTAAGGGGATTGTATTTTCAGGTCAATCTGGTCTGCACAAAAAAATCTGCCACTGGTAGATGAGTTTGAAATATAAGATAAGCTACCATGTACAACCACTTAAGAACTTTATGACCAGGTCCATAAATTTTCAGGCAACAAGATCATAAAAGAGTTCTAAGTTAGAGTAAACATCACCTCCAAAGGGGCTTTGAAGACCCAGGATCGCCACATGGTAACTGTGAAAAGAGGAATCAAAAAGACTAGATTTGTCCATATGGAGGCAGTCAGTTAGTGTTGCTTACCTTCTCATGATCCTGTGGTGTGACTTGGTTTTGCCCAGGACTAAAACCACCGGGCTGGCTTCCACCCTGCATGCTTGCTCCTTGCATGCCTGTTCCCTGCATGACTGGGACCTATGTGCACAAAGAAAGAAAAGAGATTTTTTCAGAGCTCCTGACATAGAGGGAACCTGAATACAGTAATGGCAATGTAAAAAATTATGAACTTTATTTATATAAATATGAGTAAAAAAGCAACTTAATGAGTCTGAAGATTAGTTTCTACTGTAATGACAGAAGGCAGCGTTTAGCTAGAGATCAACCAGTAAATTAGACATAATTGATTTCAACAGCTTCAGCATTATCAACCATCATCACACAGCACAACTGCATACCATCAAATTAAATAAACTTCAGCCAAATAAGCACAGAAAAAACTGAGAACACCCTGGAAATTGGTGCTAAGTGGAAACACAAATAAAAACCAACAGATTCTATAATATATGCTGGTCCACTGGGGAAGCTACATTCCCAGGGCTGCTACCTATCACTAGTACAATCAGACACAGGTAGTTCATCCCAAAAGGCCCTACCTCACACACAAGGTAGAGATGATCATAATGTCAGAGTCAGAAAGGAAATGGGAAGCCCTCTCATGAAAAAAACTGCTATTTGCCCCACACTTTCCTTGGGAAATACAAAGCAGATGCTTTCTGCTCAAAACAAAGAAGTATCATTGACCTGAGTAAAAGAATAAAGTGTAATATCATTCTTATAGGTATTTAAGATCTTCAGTGAGTCCAACCTTTTGGAAGACTATCAGAATCCAAAGAAAAGACCTGGAGCACCCAGCATAAACTGTTAGATGCACCCTTACATCAGAATTAAGTTCATACTCAGGCATTCACCCAGAGATTAGGTACTCTTATTAAACACAATTTGTTAACAAACTTGATACCTGCTTCCCCAGAAGATCAGAAGGAGCAAAACATAAAACATAGATAAACTGTTAGGAGCAGATATCATGGCAGCATTGTGTAAAGCCAGGTGATAGCCTGACAGTAAAGGAGATGAGAAACCACAAAAGAGGTAACTACGCTTTATATTGCAGCATATGCAATAATGGATCTACTTAATGATGACCCTGAGTAATTAAAAATGATTAAAATAATTTTTTAAATCCTTTTTAAGAATGGAAGCATAAAATATACCTTATAATTTTTTGTTAAGTTTTAAAATTTGGTAAATAGTCCTATTATTTGGAACATTTACTTACATGCATTAACTCATTTCCTAAACAATGGGTAGATGAAGCATTTAGTATATAGCATTGTGCAGATTGCTAGAATATTATCACTGTTCTGTTCTTTATCAATACTACATCTAGAGACCTGCCTGAACTTTAATGATCTGTTATGGATGTCAAACACCTATGAACTTAAGTCTTTCTGAAATTTACTAATACTTATTAATACTAACTTGAGGTACTGTCATGTGAAATAACTACTCACTAATAGCTCTTCTAAGTTTCCAGTAATACCTGTTCCAGGCAGATAAGTACTATCAAGAGTGACCACACATTCTGGTTTGCTAAGACAATCCCAGTTTATGTTTTTGCTTCAGAGTAAATTATTAACAGCACTCTATTTCACTGTCAAATATGCCCTTCTAGCCAGGCATGGTGGCATACACTTGTAATTCCAGCTCTCGAGAGACTGAGACAGGAGGATTGCCGTGAGTCCGAGGCCAGACTGGGGTACATATGAGTCTAAGGCCAGCCTGAACTAGAGTGAGTCCCTGTCTCAAAAAGAAAAAAAAGCCCTTCTATGCATTACAAATTATATAATCACTCTGGTAGTATTGAACTTTATGCACAAGTTTCTAACTAGATGGACTGGAGTTAAATTTTAGATATCTTATTTCAAATGATGAATTATGGACACATTGTTAAGTAAAAAGGCAAAGTGCATAACAATGAAAGGGGGAAAAGTAAGAATATATCATAAGTGAGAGAGGTACAGAGAGGAAGTGAGGTTCTTAATGTATACTTTTTATAGATTAATGTGTATTATGTGCATTTTTAAGTGAATATATTAATTTAAAATATGTAAAAAAGGTTTGAAGATAAAATTTTTATTTCCTTAGATCTAATCGGCTTAACAGACTATTAATAAAAACTATATTGGGTAAGGGATACAGCTCAGTGGTAGAGCACTTGCCTAGCATGTATGAGACTCTAGGTTCAATCCTCACCACTGCAAAAAACCAAAAATTAAACCAAAAAACCTAGTTTTATAATGAGTTCGAGCACTAGCACAGAAAATGGAGCAAGACATTACCCAGAAATGGTCTTATAACCATTATTTTCAATGTCTTTCTCTGCAGAATTATGTAAGTACATTTTGTAGTTATCTGTTGTTTCTCTCTCCGGCTAGTGTGTAAACTCCATAGGGGCAGGGACTTTGTTGTTCCCAATGTTAGTTATATCCCCAATATTTAGATCTATATCTGGTACACAGTGGGCACTCAATATGTAATTGCTGAATGGATGCTTAAAAAAAAATTGAGGCCACTGAACAGAGGGCATAATAAGAATCGAGGCCCATAAGCACATTTTTTTTTTAAAGCAAAACTGGAAGAAATCTTCATATTCCAGAAAAAAACCATATATTTATTTCAAATTATGAAGGAATAGGTAGACACCCATACCTATCCAGGCACACAAATATGCAGGGATCAGGACAGTTTTTCCCAGAGTGGGAAAAACCAGTGGGCTCTATTCCTTGCTCTGCCACTTTTTAGTTATGTTAATTAGTTAGGTGAATCATGTCACCTGAGTTTCTGGGCCTCAGTTTCCAAACCTATAAAATTAGGGAACAGGATGACTGACATGTGATCGACATGTTCTATTTCAGCTCTAACATTCTCTCTCTCCTGCTGCACTCACACAAAAGGAGGAAGATACATAAACATATCAGAGGGAAGAGAGAAATATACAGAGGAAGGAGGAAAAAGGAAGGTGGAGGTGCTAGAGGGAAATTAAAGTATCACATACAAAAACTCAGGAAGATACACGCATACCACCTCTTCACAATCAAATGGGGATAAAGAAGAGATGACAACCACAGAGCACCATATACACAACAGCTGGAAAGAGGCAAATGAAGAGAGAGAAGAGACAGATTTCAGTTGTACATATTTCATTGTTTACTCGGGCTTTGTGATGACAACAGATTAATATTAATATCAGTTTATGCAATACTAAGATTATCTAAGTGACCACCGCTCTTTATATGTTCTAAGCCAGTGGTTCTTTGGGTCACACATGTAAAACTGTTTTGAGAGAAGTTTGTCAAATCACCCATGCCTGGATACTGATAGAACTGCTGAGAGTTAGGCTGAGATCCTGGCAAGTATATTTTGGAAAACGTCTTGTAGGTGATGTTGGTTTGTACACACAATGAAGAGTACTCTGTCATTTTCAAGGGCTCCACTTTGAATGAAATAGTTCCTGAATTGTAGAACAAGGTTGTTCTTTTGGATTACAATCCTGGTGGCCAGAAAATCACCTCGCTGGGGGATACAACAAGGGAGATCCTAGTCTGAGAAGTAGTTCTAGTCAGAAGGCAGTAATAATTGGGTCAACAAGCATCCTGAATAGATCAAGATTTCACATACCTGTCTAGCTCCTTGGGGGCCAACTGCCCCAATGTTAATTGGACTGGGGCCCTGGATTCCACTAGGTATAGGTCCTCTAGGGCCTGGCACTGGGCCCCTGGTATCCATGCCTCTGGCCTCCATCCCTCGGACTTCCATGGCACGAGCCTCCATGGCACGGGCCTCCATGGCGCGAGCTTCCATGGCGCGAGCTTCCATAGCACGGGCATCCATCCCTCTGGCATCTAAACCTCTTGCCTCCATGGCTCTGGCTTCCATCCCTCGTGCATCTATTCCCCGGGGATCTCTTCCACCTATAAAGTTTTAAGGAAAACACCATGAAGCTACTCACCTGTATTATAAGAACAATTCAAGAAAGATGGACATCCATTATTCTAGTCACATCCCGCTGCAACTATACATGACTCCTCCTTAGTTTCTCAGATTTGCAATTAAACCTTAATGACGCTTGCTAACCACATTTCCCTAGCAGCTCTTATTTCACCTTAGAGGTGAAGACAGTTGAATTCTTTATTAATCCATGACTACTAGTTAGCCTCATGATGTGGTATTCCCTTACCTCTGCCATCCAAGGGTGGACCCCTTTGATCTAGCATGGGTCCTCTTGGCTCTGCCATTAGAGGTCTGGGCTCAGCTAATGGCCCTCCCCTCATCTCATGTGGGGGTGGTCCACGGCCCTCATGGCCAGGAACATGGTGCATGGGTGGACCCTGATGAGGTGGTCCCAGGTAACCTCTAGAGATGAAGAGAAATGTTGTATTTAAAACAGAACTAACAACAACAATAAAGTATCAACTAGAAGATCAGTAAGTAAACATCTGACCAAGAACTGACATAAACATTAGTCAGTAAATAGATAGAAGAGAAACTATAGTGACATATATCCATGTGGTCCAGAATTTCCAATTCAATCGAGGCACTCATAATTAGGGAGGAATTAATGGGTATTCATTAAATGTAAACAGTATGCAAACTTGTACTTACACATTCTGGATTCAAACTGAGTGGCTCAAATCTAGGCTCTATCATTTATTAGATGATGTGTGATTTTGGGCACATCTACCTTTCTTCTCCATGACTTGGCTTCTTCATTTGTAAAATGGGATTATTAATATTCACCTTCTAGGGCTGTGTGGGTTCATTTATTAATTTTTGGCAGGGCTGGGGACAGAACTCAGGACCTTATGCATGGCAGGCAAACACTCCACCACTGAACTACAGGCCCAGTCTAGGGTGTAGATTTAAATGAGATGATCTAGGTAAAGTACTCGGAGCTAAGTCAGAAGTAAAATTCCCATTAATGTCAACTACTGTTATAATTGCTATTATTAATATTACCACTACCATTAAGTTTTCTTTGTTCAGGTATACTAAAATTCTTAATTTCTGAAAATGTAGAAGTCATGGTTAGCTTAAAATGATGTATTAAACCATATAGTTCTGCCTTAGGAGAAGTGCTTGGTCTTGGACAGTGACCTTGAATATTTACCTTTGAAGTAGGCAGACAGGTACAAGTGATGCAGAAAGACTTTGCTCTCAAAGCAAGAAAAAATCCTGACTTCTCAAACAGTTTTCTCTATGTCAGTGCTTACCTAGGCTCTACCTCTCCAGTTACAGAAAGTAAAGTGCCTCCCCGTGGGTCATTCGGAGCATCTCCTAACAGACCTCGAGGAGTTGGGACATTGGCAGGCAAGGATCCCCGCTGCATAGCGGCTCTGGGGTCTTGCATCGGCACTGACAGGAAAACAAACAGGGAGTTACTGCTGTGAAGGACATAGAAGGAAACAAGAAATGACTCTATATACCACTGACAACATAATTCAGACACCTTAGAGTGGGTGAAACCTCACCACAGCAGAATCCTCTTGCAGCTCAAGAACAGAAGCAGGGTGTAGACAGAATCTGTGCCATGTCAGAGGTATGGATGGAATTTTATAAAGAACAAACTGGGGAGCAACCTGCCAAGGACTAGCACTGCGACCTGAAGAAACTTATGCTCCTGGTTCTCCTTCTACTCAATCTTAGTTCAAGGACCAGAGGCACAAAAGAGAGGTAGGGTCTTGGCATATGTGAACACTGCCATGGCTCTGCAAGAACCCGCTGTCTCCTTACAGACTGCTATTCCATCCAAGCCTCCTGACACCAGTAGGGAGGGAGTACAGCCTCGGACAGATGCCCATATCATCCATGTTCTCTGCCCTGTGTGAAGAGGTCAATCTTAGGCTTGTGGCCTCAACAGGTGAAAACAAAAACAAAAACAAAATACCCCCCAAAAAGCCCCCAAAAACTACCCTTTTGGGTTCTGAACGTGAGGATGACTGCCAAGCAGCTCTTTTCCTCTCAACGTCCCACCCTGAACACCACAAGCAAAAGGAAACCCGTAGATACAATGGGTACCTTGAACTCGCTCAATTGATGCAGGCCCGGCGGGTCCCACGGGCGAGTGTTGTAGGGTTCCTAGGTGAGCGTTAAGTTTAAAAGGAGAAAGAGTAGACACTTAAAATAGCTTGCATACATGCATGCGTGGGCACGCGCGCACACACACACACACACACACACACACAGACACACACAGAGAAACATACATGTATGGAGACTGGAGATTTATACATGTGAGTAAAAAAGCCAAGAGTTCATTAGCTTGTCTCTAGCTACAAAATCTTAAGCTATACTAGCTCCTCTGGTGACCAGATAGCTTCCTAAAGGGAAACTGTGGACCACTGGGTTTATCTGGGCAGAAATAACCAGATTTTCAATCTTTTCCTCTGCTACTACTATTTTCTCCTAAATCTCCCTATAATATTATGAAAGAAAAGAAACAAAATACTAAAAGGTTGGCTTTAAATATCAACGTATTTTTCAGAAGCAAAACGTGAAAGAAATTACACTGAATCTAGAATGGGAGATTTATTCTGGAGAGGCCATAACAGATGTGGGGCAGTACTATTTTTGTTGTATTTTAAAGCACAAACATTTCTGCTACCAAAAAATATCAAGTGGGTAAATGTAACAAATGAACTTTAGATGAACAGAAGCAGTATCACTCTAAACAAAATCATCTGCCACAGCAAGTTATTGATAATAAGCAAACAAGACAATGGCAAAGAGTAATGAGACGAAGGGCACCAACACTAAACAAAAGTGGTAGGAAAGCAAGAAATATCTTAAACTGTCTCCTTTCACTATTAGGAATGTGCAAAAGACACAAGGATTACAGAAAAAATAAGATAATCTGGGTACAAATAAAGATTCTTGCTTCTTCTGCCGAATACTAAAGGAGACCACAAAAGAAAGCTCATTTCATTTTGTATCCTCATGAAGATATCCTTGAACATACCTTCAAAAATATGAGTCATTTTCCTTTCTTGATTTTTTTACCAGAAAAGTGAATATAACTACAGCAGGAAGAAAGATGTCTTGTGGAACTATGTGTTAAACAGCTAATGCTTGATTGATGGCCTGTGGGGAGGTAGAAGCATGACTAAAGTCTTAGTCCCTTCGCACCACTACAAATATGGACTGGAGTACTATTATGGTTTGGGTCTAGATATCTCCCCAAAGCCTAATGTGGTCACAGGTTGCTTTATCAGAGGTGGCTGAACCTAGAGTGTGTGATGCTGGGATTAAGGGCATGTGATTACTAAACCAGTGCAATGATTGGTTTAGCACTGCCCTATACCCTGTATTCTGGATAAAAGGGGCAGAAAGAGGCTGTTAACTTCTCTTGTTGCTTTGTTATCTTCAGTCCACCATGAATGGTTGCCCCTCTGCCATGTGCCAGCCTGCCTTGGAGACAGCTGATTATGGACTGAAAACTCTACAAACTATGAGCTAAATAAACTTTTTCCCCTTTAACTTTGGGTGTCAGATATTTTGTTACACAGGATAGTGTAACATAGTAACACAGTAACAAGTAACTAACACAGGATTTGGTACTGAGAGTGGGGTCGTTGCTGTGACATTACCTGGCCTTGTGGCTCAACAGTCTTTGGAACTGGTTTGTGGGAAGGGGAAGAGTTAGGAAAGGTTCAGAGATGCCAGCTTAAAAAGTAGAGCTGAAATTCCTTAGGCTGTACTATATGGGTCAGAACTCAGAAGACCATAAAGGTGATAAAAACCAGGCTCAGGAGCTTTTCTACTGGGAAGAAGGACTGCATTGGCTACTGCACTCCCGATGATATGTGGTATGCCTTGGCAAAAAGTTTGTTTGCATATTGCTTGTGTCCAGAAACTTTGCCTGAGACTGAGATTAAGGGCAGGAGACTAATTAATCTGGCAAAAGAAATTTCAACACAGTCTAATTTTGAAGTGGTGGCATGGCTACTGTTGGGGGCTTTTAGCCAGATTTATGTTGAGAATCAAGAGCAAAGAGCCCAGTAGAATGATTTAAAACATTTTGAGTTTGGCCATAAAGGAAACTCCAGTAAAGTTGCAGCCTGCGAAGATACAGCAGAGGATATCTTGATTGCTGAGAAGGGACAGGGGAATAGAAAAGATGGCCTGAAGGCATCACAAGTAGGACTCCACTCTTTGCAGCCTCAGTATTGCCAAAGTGAAGACTTTGATTTGAGCAGAGAGTCCCACAGTACCATGTTCCAGAATGTCGGTGGCCTAGGGGAGTTATTCCTCAGCATTTGGTTAATAGGCTCTGGATCCCTACAGCCAAGAGAGAAGGAAGCCTGGCTACTGCTCCAGCTGATAGCAGACCTTGGTGTCAGCCATGTGGTGCTGGTTTTAGGCGCATGCAGAATGCAGGAGTTGTGGGATCAGGAGGGCTTCCACTCAGATTTCAGAAGAAGGCCTGGGAGGCCAGGCAGTGAGCCCCTGAGAGGACAGTGTGTGAAGCTGTGAGTGTGAAGCCACAGGTACAGTGGGAACCCCAGAAATTTGGAGAAGCCAGGAATGTGGATCATCTGAGGAAAACTGCAAGGAAGGAGCTGACTTGGCCCAGGAAAGGAGCCGTGGGAGCTATAACTACCAGAAGTGCTGTAGGGGTGGAGCCACCAAGCCCTTTGGAGTTCACAACTTGTCACAGATTGCTGGGGATGCTGAAAGTAGAGCTGTGGAATTTAATGTTTGCCCTGCTGGATTTTGGACTTGCTTTCGTCCCATTCCTTTGTATTTCCCTTTGTAATTTTTGGAATGGAGATGTCTCTCTCGTGCCACTGAATGCTGGAAGTGTTTAAGTTTATTTTCATTTGTACATGGGCTTGCAGCTAAGAATTTGCCTTAAATCTCAGCGGAGACTTTGGACTCAGATCTTTCAGCAACGCTGAAACTGTTTGGACTTTGGCAACTTTTAGAGATGGACTAAATACCTTTTGCATAAAGGAATGTATATGAGTCTTTGGGGGACTAGGGGCAGAATGTTATGGTTTGGGTCTAGATGTCCCCCTAAAGTGGCTTTTTCAGAGGTAGCTGAATCTAGAGTGTGTGATGCTGGGATCAAGGGCATGTAATTACTAGACCAGTACACAGACTGGTTTGGCACCACCCTACTCCCTGTAGTCTGGATAAAAGGGGCAGAAAGAGGCTGTTAAGGTTCTCTTGTTGCTTTGCTACCTTTAGTCTGCCATGAACTGTTGCCCCTCTGCCATGTGCCACCCTGCCTTGGAGCCAGCCAATTATGGTCTGAAACCTCTGCAAACTGTGAGCTAAATAAACCTTACCCTTTTTAACTTTAGGTGTCGGGTATTTTGTCTCAGCCACGAGAAAAGTAACTAACACAGATACATACACTATCTATTGACAGTGGTGAGGTAGAAGCACACAACAACACAAAAGCATGGAATGCTTAGAGAAAAGATGAGGTATTTGGTCAGGAGTTTGTCTTCCTGTCAGACATCTAATGAAAAAAAAATTATTCTATCGTTTCAACCATGAATCCCAGTATACAAATCATTGGCCAGTATATTTATATTTTTCTTTTTAAATGGGTTTCACTCATAGGTCATATGCTAAGAAGAAAAAACTTAAGTTTCTCTACTTTTATCTAAAGCAGTCTTTTCCCATCACAAGGACTCAATGAGTAAGAGTAAAATACATTGAAGAATATTTTTGGAAGTTAACACATTCATGATAGGGCCATAATTCATTTGTCTGTCAGGTGGTTTGAACCACTGGTAGTACATGCACAGCTGTCCCATTGGGCAACTTTTTATTAACTTTATTAGTAAAAAGACTGATAAAAGTGATTAGATCCATTTGTACCAGTAGTGGTACAAAACTGAGAACATGTTCATAGAGGCAATGTGGAGAAAGAAAAGGGATATATTTTGGAGTTAGAGACTTCTCAGTCTTAGCTCTGCCACTTTCTAGAACAGAGTACCAAATCCAGCTCTTCATACTCAGATGTCAGTATTTACTTACCTTATCCCCCTGAGTAACTTAAAATTCTGAGCTTCCATCTCTTTCCTTTAAAACTGAGGTGCTACCACCTAACTCCCAAAGTTGCTTATGGACACTGAGGTGCCTGACAGATAGTATGCACTTGGTTCCTTCCCTTTTCTCCCTCTCCTCAATTTTCAACTACTGCATTCCAGTAACATAGAGAAATATCATGGAGACTTTAGAATGGCTGCTGCAATATATAATGCATTTCTGACACAATACAACAGACATTTCTCAAGTAGGCTTTTCAGATCTATGATCACCCTTCCAGCTTGCTCTGGGGTTTAAATTTGGTCTTCTCATACCCAGTCACATATTACATGGTCACTATTAAAATCCCTAAGTCAACAGATAACCAATCCATGGAGGGAAAAAGAACATGTCAACAAATCATTAGACTATTAGGAAACAAAGCGTTCATTTGTCTCATCAATTCTTGTAGAGCTTGTCTCTGAATCATTACGTGGAAAGTTTAGATCGGCAATGTACAACAGAAATTTCTGCAATGATAGAAATGCTCTATATATCTGCCATGTCCAGTGTGGCATCCACTAGCCACATATAGCTACTGAGCACTTATAAGTGGTAAGTGTGACTAAGGAACTGAGTTTTAAATTTTACTTCAATTAATATTTAAATAGCCACTGGTGGTTAGTGGCTGTCATATTAGAGAATGCTGATATGGAACATTTCCAAGTCCAGTATACATTAATCAGACATTAATATTTCTTTACCTTGTCCCCGTTCTATGGACACTGGTCCACTTCCTGGCATTCCAAGCTGAGGCTGCATTCCTCCTGGAACATAAAGGGCAGGAAAGAAAGACACAAATGAGTAATAGTGTCTGAACTTACAAATTACTTCATTCTGCCTTCCAAGAAGAAATCTATGAAAGTAGATGGTTACCGTCACTCAACAATGCAGTTAAAACAGAAGGTGAGGTTTGTTAGTATACTTTATACTTCAGTGACAGAAGTCAGTTCAGTATCAATACTTCTTCTCAATGATTACCAAAGCCATGGCAGAAAGCTATTCTGTAATACAAGAACAATGCCACTTACCGACAGACCTCCTCTCATGGGATGCAGTAATATTTATTCCCTGGGTGTTTCGTATATGGGTGGGTATACTATTTCAGTTGTGACAAAGATTTGTGAGGATACAGCTATCATTGAATGAGAAGTTGGCAGGGACACTAGATGTCCTGCAATGTGAGACAGTCCCACATCAAGAATTACCCTGTGTCTTGCAAAACTTTGAAATGTCTTACTGAACATACACACAAATGAAAATCTGCTTATAGCCACCTGAAATTAGAACCCCAGTCTATTTTACTTGTAAACACAATGGTTCTCTGCACTTTTTGGCTTGTTTTACTTTTTTGTAGTACTGGGGACTGAACTCAGGGTCTCTACACTAAACTATATCCCCAGCCCTTTTTAAAAATATGAATTTTATTTTGAGACAGGGTCTTGCTAGGTTCCTAAATTGGGCTAGGCTTGAACTTGTGAATCTCCTGCCTTAGTCTCCCAGAGTTCTGGAATTATAGCAGGCATTTGTGCTGTGATTACAGGAGGCAATCATCATGACACCTAGCTGTCTGCACTGGATGTGTGTACATATATGGGGGGGGGGTGAGAGTGAGCGAGCACAAATACACATATATTTACCCAGTATTTGCCAGAAATGCAATTACTGGGTAAATTATCAATGTGTAATTTGTTTTAAGAATTTTATTATGTTTTCTCTATTTCAAAAAATCACAGAACAGTCCTTGTGGTATCTCAGTTGCCAAAAAATCATGCCTCTGTCTAGTTTTAGTTTTTACTTTAATGGTATCAGTATAAACACATGACACATGCTAACTGACAAACAGTACAAACACCTGATACATGCTGTTTTTTAGTGCAATTGTGCCCAAACATTTATATATTAATTTTATATTATAAATGAATGTCCTTTTACATCTCATTATAGTTAAGACATTATACTTTTTGATATGTTATATAGGTTACATAATCTGTGCATTTCCTTTAAGGATAGTAAAGTCATTGCAAAATATCTATTATTATGAAAAGGGGGCTAGGTTAAACAGGGTTTAGAACAACTGGTCTACTCTAACCAGTTGGGGCATGATGACTGCTATACAAAGAATACTCATGCACCGCCAAGTCGTTATATGGTGCCTTCCACATAGCAATAATTCTCTTTTCCTCAAAGGAGAAATATAGGTGGTAAGTGAGGAGAAAAGACAAGCTCACTTGTTTGCAGTTCATTAACACTTCCCTAAAATGACAAGTACATATCACATTCCCCTGTTGCATTTAATAAGCCAAATACCAAAGAGCTCTGGATTAAGAACCTAAAGAAATGTATGCCAGCTCTGCCCTTCTACTAAGTAACTGTGATTCTGAAATGATCTGACAAAATGAATACATTCTCAGGTTTCCTCATCAGTAAAAAGAACTGGTCTAAACAGTGGTTCTCTGAATGTAGTTCCCACACTAGGAACATCAGCATCATCAGGAAATTTGTTAGAATTGTAAATTCTCGGTCCCCACTGCAGAAACCTGTGTTTTATAAGTCCCTTACATGCTTCTAACATAAAGTTTGAAAACCACTGGCCTAAATAATTTCAAAGCTCCCTTCTAGCCATCTTTTTATTCTATTCATGTGATCCAGACCAAACTACAAAACTCAGGATATGAGGAAAGAGCAGAAAACATGAGTGAAATTTCTTATATTATACATCATTATATAACAACACTTTTATTTATATGTGTTAGATTCTCAGAAGTGGAATTTGTGGGTCAAAATGCATATTAATTTTCAATGTTAGATCCCTTTCTTGAAAGGCTGAAGAACTTCACATTTCTACCAGCAATGTACAAATACCACTTACTCTATCAAGATCATCACCTCTTTGAAACTTGCTAGTCTGATGGCATTCTCATTGTTATTTAATTTGTAATCCCTTAACTGTAAATAAATTTCTTTATATTGGCCATTTGGCTTTGCTCTTCTATGAAGTTCTTGCAAATTTTCTTCGTCCACTTTTTTATGAGGTTGTTTTACCCATTCTCATCAATAGTTAAAGAGCTTTGTACACAGTAGCTCACAAATCTTCATGAAGTTTTAACTTTAAAAAAATTCAGAAATATAAATGCTACAAACTCAAAAAATATCACTTAGAAGTTTTTTAAATTTTGCACTTACATTCAACTTTTATCTATGTTAATTTTCTCTTCTTGGTGTTTCTAGCTTATGACTTTTCTAATTCCTTAAAACTAGAGTGCTTTCAGTTTGTAATACCTAAAGCTTGGAAACAGCCCAAGTGCCCATTAACTGGAAACTGGAAAAAGAAGATACGTTTTTTTTTATAAAATGGAGTACTACTCAGCCATAAAGAACGAGAAACTAGAGATATTTATAGCTAAATGGATGCATATTGAGGCCATACTCGTAAGTGAAATAAATAGGACACACATGTGTAAATACCGAATAGTTTCTCTAGTGTAAGAAACTGAAAGTGTAAATAAGGATTAAAATGATTAAAATGAATAATTGATAATTTGAAATAGGAAAAGGTCCAAAGGTGTGGGGTGGTGGGAGGGGAAGGGGAAAGAAGGGAAAGGAAAAATTATGAGAATAGAAAAAAAAAATGGAAATGATGTCTATGTAAATAGGGAAGGGTGGAGGGGGTGAAGGGTGCACAGGTAATGGGGAAAAAAATAAGAACTAAGATACATCATGTACAGGTACAAGCACCCAATGACAAATGTAAACATATTGTATACCTAAAATGTACCAATAAAAGAATTAAAAAAAAAACTAGAGTGCCTTTTTCTTAATATAGGTATTTAAGAATATTCATTTTCCTTTAACCAGTGCCTTTACTGTTTCCTGCATTTTTTTTGTATGAAGTACATATACACTTTTTATTTCCCTTTAATTTATAAATTTCTTTTTATTTCCTTTTTAATTCAAAGATTAAGTACAGTATGTCCTTCAATTTTCCAAGTAAAGATTTTTCTCAGTTGTCTTTTAAATATGTTTCTAATCTTACTTATAATGAAAGAATGTGGGCTATAAAGTCTCTAGCTTTTTTGAATTTGTTAAGGTTTTATTTTGTGGCTAAGTACAAAAAACCTGTTCCACGGTCATTTGGAGTGAGGAGTGTATTCTATAGTCAAGATATAAAGCATTCTTGAGGTATTAACTATATATTAAGTGGAACTTGTTGATTTGATTATTTAATCACTCAATATGCATATTTATTTTCTGTCCACTAGTACAATGCTACTCAAAGTGTGAGTCACAGATGGTGCTCATCTATAACCCGTGTTAACAATTCATGACAAGTATAGAAATGAAGTGCAGATATTTGGAAACTTCTATAGCAATTTTTTTTTTTTTTTTTGGTACCGGGGATCGAACTCAGGTCCTTGCGCTTGTGCAGCAGGCGGCGAAACCACTGAGCTCACTAAACAGGCTGCAAATCAGTCTGAGTGTTAACTCATGTAATGTGCCTCATGGTTGCATACTTGTCATGTGTAGTAGGCTCACATTAGAACTTATAGTGGTATTTCAAGGTAAGTAAGGCACCTGTAACTCAAAAACATAAAATATAGAACCCATTTCTTTCCCTGAAAGATAACTATAACTGTATTAGGATAAAGTGAGTAAATGAAAATTGTGGGGCCGGGGATTTAGCTCAGTGGTTCTGCCACCTGCTTCTCAAGCACAAGGTCCCAAGTTCGATCCCTGGTGCCAAAAAAGAAAATTGTGCATTTAATAAAATTTCTTTGAAACTCTTCTATTCTTTGTCAACTTAGCTCTGTAGACTGGTCTCTCTACAAAACAAAAGAATTTAGATTTAAATTATCTTCTACGAGTAGTGTTACAGTCAATCTAACCCATATTAGAAAAATTAGTAAGAATTTTGTTTGCATAAAAATTTTAAATATTAGTACTCCACCATGTGTTAATACAGGTGTTTCATGCAAGGAATCAGTATTTTACAGTGTCTTTATTACAACTGTTGAACAGTGAAAACTCACAAGTTTAATAGAAATACTCTATTAATTGCCTACTTACATGCTTTTCAATGAAAGTGTAGCTATTAAGTTTCCTTTTTTTGCTGTTTGGTTTGATTGTATTTATTGAAATTCAACTTTATCATGTGTTTTGTGCTGGTTTTATTCCTAAGTTTTAACCTAATTTAATAGTCTGGCTTTTTAATGGGAGAATTCAGTTCATTCACATTTAACAGAATAAAGACTGTATTAATTTTTATTACTTCTACTTCAGTCTGCACTTACCACTTTTTTTATATTGTCTTTTGTATTTTTCCTGGTTTGATCAGTTTCTGTTCATTCCATCTTTCCTCTTTAATTTAGAAGATTTACTGTGCTTTTCCACTTTACTGTCCATTTTCTTGCTATGAGACATACAGAATTTGTGTATAAGAAATAATCTATTTCCTCCACCTAGAATATACACTTTCTAGCTATACATTAATTTCATATCAAGATCCTATTAACACATAATTTGGCTGCACTGCAGTAATTGCTAAGACTATACTTTACAGAAGTAACAAAATGGTGAAGACTCTAAATCAAACTTACCTCCAGGAGCTAAGGAACCAGGGCCAGGTCCTGTTACAGCAGCTGGCATCTGCCCTGGTGCTGGAACCCCACCTTGCATAGAAGCTTGCATCAGAGGAGGTGCGCCATTGATGTGCATTCCACCCTGACCAAGAGAAAAACTACGGTATAGACATGCCTCTGTGGAGACCCAAAGGTTCTCTTAAAATTGGCAGTTCCAAATAGTCTACCAAACGCCCTTTTTATACAGCAGTCTCATGTGGCATCAGATTTATCACATACTTTGTATTCCATGAAGCAATCTGCAATATGTAATATGGTTAAGATGGGACATATCCTAAATGTAGAAATTGAGAAATCTTATCTCTGTGGCAGGTAGCATATAACACACATTCTTGACTTCATGACTGGGGCCTAGCAATACATTTTAAAAGAAAAAAAAAGGGCCTTGAACTCAAAAAGACAAAGAGGGAAGCAGCTGGTAGTATAATATAGCAACATACATTTTGAACACCACTAATGACTATTAAGTAATTTGCCTTTTGTCTGTTATATGTGTGGCAAATATTTTTCTCTATTTTGTCATTTGTCTGTGGTGTTTATTTTGCCTTCCTTTCTCCATACAGCAATTTTTCAGTTTTTAAATGTATTAGTTGAGCATGGTGGCGCATGCCTGTAATCCCAGCACTCAGGAGGCTGAGGCAGGAGGATCACCATGAGTCTGAGGCCAGCCTGGGCCACATAGTGAGTTCAAGGCCAGCCTGAAATACACAGCGAGACCCTGTCTCAAAACAAAAAACATAAATGTATTAATATTTTTATGGCTTCAGCATTTTGTGTCATGCTTGGAAAACGAGCTTCTTTTCTCATTGGTGAAAATGGAGATAATGAGAATGCTTATCTCACACAACTTCTGTGAGGAATAAATGGGACAATGGATATGGAATAATGGAGGATCAGGCATGCACATAAACACAAAGTTAGCTTATAGGAAAAGGACATGCAGGAAGTTTCTCTTTGTTTTAAAAACTTGGAACAGAATCTGTATTCATTTGGATGGCATGTGCTCTGCACCTAGAAACTTTTTATGCCTCAAAATGAAAATTATCATCTCGTTCCTGACCATTCTTCTTTCAATATAGTTTCCTAAAAAGAAAATGACATTCTAAAACAGACAAAAGAAATGTTGAGGGATAAATCCCTACCAAAGACTGGGCCTGAGGGGCTTGAGGATTCTGTTGGTTCACTGACACATTGGCTCCTGAGCCAGGTCCAGCACCATGGACTGGTTGAGGATTGCCTGTAATCAGTGTTGGGATATTTGTCTGGCGATGCAGAATTTTCTAAAAAGTGAAAAGACAAACCAGTGAGCTATCTGTTTAACAAGGCAATCAGGTACTTCCTATCCTGCTCAAAGTTTACCCTACCATTTCCATAAAAGAATCGGAAGCACTCACCAGGGCAATCTCTGGATCCACAATTCTCATCACTACCTGTGCTTGCAGCAAAGCATAAGCCAGCTGTGGGTTCTGAAGTAACATGTTCCGTGCTTCCTGGGGACTATTCTGGACACAGAGCTGAGAAGAAAAGCACATTTATCATCAGGTGCAATAATTATTACTTAAAAATCATGATTTATAGCCATTCTCATCTTAGAAATTTAATATTCCAGAGGCTTTTAATCTCAGCTAGATTGTTTAGGTAGGTCTGTTTGTGTAGAGAAAAGTATTGTGCACATATGGAATAATGAAGGTACAAGAAATGGTTATCTATAAATATCACTTCTTTTTGCATTCAAGGAGCTATATCCATTAATTCATCATAATTCATCAATTAACTCCTTCAAAATCTGATGTGAATTGCTTTATTTATAACCTATGGCCTCCTCCCACCTTCATTTGTTTCATCAGCTCAAACATCTGCTCTGGTGGAAGACTGGCAACTGCTTTGCTAATGGACTCGGGGGCATCCTCAGGACTGATGGTCTCTCCATAAGGTGACTCAATGACAGGGGCACCAGTGCCAAGGCCTGATCAGGAAGGAAGTACAAGAAAGTTATGGAGGCAAAATCAAAAGCTAAATCATTTCAAGTAATTTTCAGGGCTGCTTCTAAGCACCAATCGATAATCTAAAATTCTGTGGAGCTGAGAAGTCATCTGAAAAATCTCTTGTTCCTGAGTAGAAAAGTGAGAATGTATTTTGTGTTCTTAAGAGGAAAGCTTGGACAGTGGTCACACAGATGGACAATATTAACCTAAGTTAGAGACCCAAGCTATTGATTTCTTTTGATAAGTCATTTCAGAAGAAAATTTAAATAGCAAAGCTGTTAATTTTAAAACAGAATTCCTGGATCTACTACCTCATGAAAAAAGGCACAAAAATGCCTTAGTACTCCTACCAGCTACAGATCTGGCAATTGTTCATAGGAGTGATTAATGACATAGCACTACTAATGTGGTCGATCTGAATTCATCTAAGTGGAAATCAACTCCTTAGCAACAGGAGGACTTCTACTAAAGTCAACATCACCTTGTTTCTCAAAGATACTACTTCCCTAACTCAGGTGCCTCAGGCTGGTCAAGTAAAGAAGCTGTGTGGTGTATTCTAAAATGTATCCTGAAAATTTTCATTGTTACATCTCTACTAACTCATTATGCATACAACTTGGGTTTATACTCACTCTTCAGCTCTTCTTTGTTCTTTTCACTGGCAGCATTGTCAACTCGAAGTGCTCTCCCACTGAATTCACGTCCATTCAGGTTCCGCATGGCACTAAGAGCTGTCTCTTGGTCTTGGTATTCACAGAAGCCATAACCCTTTGGTTTTCCTGTCTCCCTATCATATACCAATCTGGAGAGCAAAACCAAGTATCAGGCACAAATACTATACACATACTATACAAGATTCCTGCTAAGACTGCATGCTCTAATTTGGCTCACTGTAAGATAACTAGCTTTACAACTCAGATGCGTCACTGAAATATTTTTAAAACATTTTAATAAAAAAAACCTTTTAAGTAAGCATGAATGTAAACTGTATATGTGAATTATATCTCAATAAAGCAGTTAACAAAAATAAAATGCATGTGAAAAGTTATCATTAAAAAAAATACCCTTGCCATTATTGCTACAGGCCAAATTTTCAGAAATTTTTAAGAATCTCCCACCAAGAAGTAGAAGATCTCACCTGAAACTAACAACAGGTCCAACCTCAGAAAAGATGTCCTTCAACTGCTCTTCAGTAGCTTCATAAGGAATGTTACCCACTAAGGAATAGATAACATATTACAATTCTGAGTTTCTAACCTAGATCCTTAGTGAGACAGTAAACAGAGTATCTACTTACATTACTGAATACTAACAACTGGCTCAAAATAGTGTTCTCCAAAACCCATCTCACTTCTATCTCTTCATATCTCTTAACAAGGGAAATAAACCACTGAGACAAAATACAAAAAGTATAGATACTACAGTTCTGTTGGATCTGACAAGTGTTAGATTGTCCTTAAATTTGGTTAAAATAAGTATGTAAGGATTTGTATTTACTTGGAGGCCACCAAGTACCAATGACTAATAAAAATATTATAATTTAAAAAACAGATCTACATATACATACATTTATGGGAGAAAACGACGGGCATAGTGGTGGGTATTTAAAATTTATTGTTTTGTCATGTGTCTTTTCAAAAGATGTTTTAAAAAACAACGTACTCTAGCCAAAAAACATCACTTATAATAGTTTAAATCCTCTTTCCTCGAATGGGGTTTTAATCATTCATTCATTCATTCATTCATTTGCAATTCACCTCAATTCCCCAGGTGCCCGCTACGACTATGGATAAACAAAAATGTCACGAGTAAAAAGCAAAGGATGTAAATCCTTACGAGAGGGCGGAAACTGGGTACAGGGACATAAACACTCAGCATATGACCTATAGTCAGTGACGGGGTAAGAAATACTGTACTACCGAACAGCGAGCGAGGGGCTGCTACCATGCGTCCTTTCTTCTAAAAAAATAGTCGAAGATCATGTAGGAGTAAGGCATAGAAGATGAACACTTGTCTAACTCCCTTGATGATATCGCGGAAAACCTCAGGTGCCTCAGAGGAAGAGAAGCATTTCTTTGCCCACGAGGTTGGCCGCCCCACGGGATGGGCAGGGAGAACTGCAAGCCCGACCCATCGCCAGCTTTCGCGGCGATTTTAGAGGTGGAAGGTGCAAGAGGGCGTTCTTCGACGCTCCCGTGCCTCTTTCTGTCCCTCCCTTTTGCTTGGATCCACCGAATGCTTCTCACCGAATACCGAACGCAGAGAACGATCCACTGCAGGGTCTCTCACAGTCAATCCCGCCATTGCTCTCTCCAGCGGCTTCCGGTGCCCCAAACACACTTCCGTACGGCGCGCAATCCTAGCTCCCACCACGCTTCCGTACGGCGTGTCAGCCGGAAGCGCTGCTCCACCCAGGCATCACTTCGTTCTCTGCACTCGCGTGTTTGTGAATTGAAGGACTCACTTTTACCCGGAGGGGCTACAGCATGAAAATAACTACGTTGAGAGTGGGATTCAGGCGGGTCCATGCTAACTTGAAGGCTATTTGCCTGCAGAATTCCTTACTAATTTTCCTTTTAGGCTGACGCAAATACTAGTTGGCCACAATAAAGATGGCGGCAGCGGCTTTACTGTGGTAACAGGGAGGTTATTTGTTAACAGCCTGGGCACTTTCATTTTAATTCCGCCCTATTAAGGGAGGGAAATGGTTGGGCCCGCCGCAGCAGCGTGCTTATTATTTTGCTCAAGTCGCAGGTGCGACTTGAGCTGAACTGAGAGTAAAGACAGACCGGAGAACCTAACAATCAGCTGCACTCAATCTCTAGGGGCCAACATTAGTGAGGGGGTGGCGATTCAAAGAGAACAGGCGCTGGCCGGAGATTTAGCTCAGTGGTTTCGTCGCCTGCTGCGCAAGCTCACGGACCCGAGTTCGATCCCCAATACCAACCAAAAAAAACAAAGAAACGCTGCCTGCTGTCTTGTAGCCGGTGGGATTCAGGTACTTAGTAGTGGGGCAGTGCAGTAGACCACATTTGCCGGCAGGATTTGGAAACTGAACAAAATATCATTGGCGGGTTAACACCATACTTTGGTTCCCGTACTCGTGGGCTATGGCATGCAGGACTACAGTAGTTGCCAGTCCCACTGAAGACAAATCCTCCTGGAAGAAATGCTTAGCAGAGCATCTGAGAACAGGGTTAGGGAAGAAAAAGAAGAGGGCTATGTTTGAGCAAACTGCTATCCGAAAAAGAAGTCACAGATAATACCTTAGGCACAGAATTTGAGGCATGGACATTTTTATTCTACATAAATTATTATTATTTTAATATTTGATACCGGGGATTGAACTCAGGACCTTGCACTTGCCAGGCAGGCACAGTGCCACTGAGCTACTAAATCTCCGGCCCTTCCACATATATTAGAAGAGGGTGTGCATAAATCTCTGCTAGAAATATGAGAAGTATTTAGAAAAATAAACAACTGTATATCATTTCAAGGAGTAATTCTGGTAAAAACAAAAGTTTTGAAAGAATATTCCTACTTTCACGACGAGTCCCTTTTACTATCATTGTGTGACTTACAGAACATCTTGTGTAATAGACTAACTCAAAGGAGGATTTACAGCTCTATGAAAAGCACAGTTTCAGAGTTTGGGGATAAGTCACTGTTTCAGTGTGATGAACTTTTGCTAAATGAATGTATGGACAAGTATATTTCTAATGTGCTGTTTTCCAAACTTAGATGAACACAAGATTCACCTGGGGTGGTAGGAGTATATATGCTTGAGGTTCCACCCCAGGTCTATAAAATGAGATTCCAGGCAATAAGTTTGAGAGATATTATTTTTAAACAAATGCCCTTGGTGAGTCACAGGGTCAAGCAATTTGGGTAGCATTGTAGTTACTGAGATAGCTTTATGACAATATTTAGTATAACCGCTTTCTTATCAAATTTCCCTTATAATAGTTCTGAATTTCTTAGGCTAAAGCTACCATTTGTGTGTGTATGTGTGTGTGGGGGGGTGGGGGGTGTTTGGAAATGTACAGGAGCATTTTGGGTTGTTGCAGTGACTGGGGGAGCACTGTTACTAGAGGTAGAGCAGCCAGATATGGTGTGTAGACTGCTATGTCCTTTGTAGACCAGTGAACCCCTCACCCCATCAAATGCCAATAATGTCACTCTCTTTGAGAAACACTGTTAACATTAGTTGTACTAGATCAAAGGGACTCTGGATCTGAAGGCATTACTACCTTTGGCCTTCTCACAACTGTGCAGCTGATCCCAGTAAAAGCATTTATTGAGCACTTGTTCTGTCCTTTTTTGTATTAGTTTTCTTTGGCTTCATATGCATTTCCACAAACTTAGTGGCTTAAAACATTATTCTTTTATTACCTCACAGTTCTGCAGGTCAAAAGCCCAGGCAAACTTGGCTGGACCCTGTGCTTAGGACTTTACAAGGCTGAAATCAGGGATTTGGGGTCTCTGGGGTCATAATTGTTGGAAGAATTTTTTTTTTTTTTTTGTGGTTGTAGGATTGCAATTCTTATTTCCTGACTATTTTCTTGGGAGTTGTTGCTTTTAGCTCCTAGAGGCTTCTCTGGTCCTTGCATGTGGGTTACTACATCTCAGAGCCAGCAATGGCACAGTGAAACCTTCTGTTTTGAATTGCCGACTACGTCTTCTGTGACCAGTTGAGAAGTATTCTGCTTTTATTTTTTTATTTTTGCTTTGTGGGGCTGGGGATGAAATCTAGGGCTTTGTGAATGAAATACTCTATCCCCCACCTCATAACTCTATTTTTAAAGGGCTCTTGTGTTTAGGCCATGTCCATTCAGGTAATATTCACATATTAAGGTCAACTCTGTTATGTAACATGACCAAATCATGAGGGTAAAATCCATTATGATCCTATGAGATCCTAACAATTATGCAGGCAAATACATAGGGGGTCAGGAAATCTTGAAGGCCATCTTAAGCTGCCCACCACTTCTATTTTATTGGCAAACATATTTAAAGAAGTTTAAGTAACTTGCCTTAGGTCCCACGACAAGTGCCAAAGGCAAGGTTTGAACTCAGGGTGCCTTGGTGCCAGAGATTTCCTAATGGTATATCTACCGCCTCCCAGCATAACAAAAAAATACGGATAGCTCAGTATATTTTATTATCATTTTTGGAAAAGAGTGTAGCTTTTCCAAGAGTGACCTGGTGATGAAAGGTCAGTAGCTTACAATAATGAACCACCTAAGAAAAGTTTGAAGGACAGAACTAGAGCTTGTTCTGCTATCATCAGCCATCTGCGGAAAATGTACCACAGCAACCAAACCCTCTCTACTAGTTATAAAAGAGGAGGTATGTGCAAGGGATATAACCTAAGTGTTTTTATTTGTTTTTAGGTTTCACTTAAAGGCTCTGCGCTAGTGACTCCTGCCTGCCTCAGTGCCTGTCCATGAGAATCTTTTCCCATCATTCAGATATTCCTCATATGACAGCATCTCTTTTGCCTCTTGTTTCTAGTAAAATGAAGATAGAGGATGGGACCTTTAACCTGTTGTAGGTAGTATGACTGAAGCATCAATTTGCAACGATATAGGTATAATATTAAGAGATAAGGAGAACAATAGAAAAGCATTTCTGCATATATGGGACTAAAAGATATAAGATAAATGTTTCTTGGGGATTTGAACAGAAGAGGAAAGTGTACTTAATGGATAAAGAATTTTGGAAACTATAGTCAAAATTTGTGGGACAGAAACTTGTGGAAAGGTCCTGAGTTCTTATCCAATCTTGTTAATGAGACTTTAAATCTTGAGTGAAATACCTTACATGTAAGTGAAGGAAGCAAAGACATTCAAAGTTGTAAGGACACTAAGACTTGGATTCTTTCTCCTGGTCATAGGAGGCCAAATTTCCAAGGCTAGGGTAAGTATTGAATGTTTGATCCATGTTTAAAGCTCCTCAAAGAGTCATGAAATGAAATTCCTCATTAGCCCTGTAGGGAAAATCTGGAAAGACAGAAACTCTTGGATAGTTATCATTGCATAGATATCATATATGCGTGATAGTATTATCTGTGTTAGGAGAAAGACTCAGTGAACAGCACCCGCAAGAACTAAAGAAACTTGAAGCCCCCAGGGAGTACTTCAATGTGGATACAGATTCTGATCAATATATAGATGAAGGTATCAATTGCTTTGCTCTCCAGGAACATCATTTCTAAGTTCTATTTAGTTCCATTATCAAGAGTGGTCACAGAGCAATATCTATACTTTCTGGAACTATTTGAAGATTTCAGCCTAAACTGCAGTGATGATGAACCTTTTAGAGCTTTCAATGATAACAAACAGCCAGTTGCAGCACACATGCCATAGGTTCACCACAAATGGCCTAGAGACTACTCTACAGAGAGTTGTTGAGTCCATCAAAGTGAGTCATTCCAGTGTTTGTTTTTTGATTTTTTAAAAATTAAATTTATTGATACATTTTAGATATACATAATGATCACATTCATCATAGGGAATTTATACCTGTAAATGATGTATTTTGATGCTTCTTTTTTTCCCCAGTCTCCTCCCCTCCATTCAACCCCTTGCTCCATCCTTATTTACAAAAGCTTTGTTTCCATTTTTCCTTCTATTCTCATTTTTCTTTTCCCATCCTTCCCTTTTCCCTTCCACCTCCCTTCTTACCCTTCCAATTTGAACATTGTTTTCCTGTTTCACAATGTCTATTATAAATTTTGGTCCTTATTTATCCTTTTGGTTTCTCATCCCAGAGAAACAATGTGATATTTAAACATATGTGTCCAATTTATTTCACTTAAAAGTATCGTCTCAAGGTGCATCCATTTACCCAGAAATGACTCAAGTTTATTCTTTCTGGCAGCGTAGTACTCCATTGTATAAAAAAAATCCCACATATTCTTTATCCATTCATTGGTTGATGGGCATTTGGGCTGTTTCCAAAATTTACAAACTGTGCTGGATAAACATGACTGTGCATATATAGTAGTGGTATGATGCTTTTAATTCTTTGAGGAAGATACCAGGAAAGGAAATGTCTGGGTCAAATGGAGCCTTAGTTTTGTATATATATTTTTTAAATCTCAACACAGATTTCCACAGTGGTTGCACCAGTCTACACTCCCAAACAAAAGAGGAGAAGGGTTCCTTCTCCCCCACAGCCTTGCCAGCAATTGTTATTGGTTGA